CTGCTGGAGCAGAGGGAACCAGTGCCAGCCAGCGCCACCAGGGAGGGCGACTCAGCACACTCTTCCCACGGGAAAGCTGAGGAGCGGTGCCACCTCGGGTCACCCACTCTCTCAGCTGGCATCCCCTGTAGTGTAAAATGGGAGTGGGGGTGGCTTCTCCAAGGCCTTTTTCTCTGGCAACAGAGTCATCCTCATGCAGTCCCTGGGGCGCCTTTACCTGGACGCAGGTCTGCTCCAGGCATCAGACACACCTGCTTTTTGGGCAGTTAGAGGAAGGGGAGGAAGGGATTCCTTCCTGGCTCTGTAATGACAGTGAGCCACCTGCAAAGCAGCATCTTGGCTTTTCGAGACGCCAGTCCTGGGAGGACTGTCTGAGGGAGCCATTCTGTCCCCTGGACCGGTTACAGTGACAGGCCAGGCCAGAGCGCTGGTGCTCACCTGGCGGTGCACTCATCAGCTGACAGATGCCTCAGCATCGCCTGTGTGCAGGGCGCCGTCCTGGGCGTTGGGATGCAGAGTAATCAGGAGCAAGGTCTTCGTCCTCAGGGTCTCCCTGGGTGGCGGGCTTCACTGCTGGACCTGGAAGTATCAATGTGCCTTGCTAGTGTTCCTCAGAAACTTACAGGTGATTATCCAGGAAGCGACTTTTAAAAGTACATTGCACCATGCCTTAAGAGACCTCCCCTCCTTACCCGCCCAAGCAGTTTTCCGTGAGCCCTAGACAAGGAAGTAATGATTTTCATAGTGGCACGAATCAAACCTCAATTGATTTGGCTTATAAGTTCTGAGATTTTGGGGGTGTCAGGTGTCCTCAGAGCGGGACTCAGGCCTTGTGGCTCGGGCAGGGTGGTGCTGCCCGAGGAGCGGCTGTGCCCGGGCCCCAGGGAGGCCTGCACACACCAGCTCGGCAGTCCCAGGCCTGACCGAGTGCCTCTAGCCTAATTAGTCCTCTGAATGTGACCGGCATGAGGAGTTCCCTCTGTCATCTTCTCGGACTTCCGTCCATCGCAAAGCATCTGCACTTTTTGCCGATTTTGGAGCAGGCGGGAGATCACTACGGGTGTTGAAATTGCTCCATGTAGTAGAACAGTGTGGAGAACTTGAAGCAAGGAGACAGGCGTGGGGTGGGGGGCACGATTGCTCGTCAGACTTTCTGAACCCAAGATTTAAGTCAGAAACTTTGCATTCGATTTTTTAAAATAATTATCCTGCTTACCATTTCCTTCTAGTATGTGGTGTTTGTAATTGGAAGTATATTAAAGCTTATTGAACTTGGCCTTAATCATTCAGACTTCTTTAAAAACAGATTCTGTAAAGACCTAGGCTACCCAGGGGTACAAGGTTTGCTAACCTCTCCTGTGGAACTGTAGGGACAGCACTTCACTAGCCTGTGGTAGAAGCAGCTCCTGCGTGACTCCTTTAGAACCCAGACGAGTCAGAGTTCAGAGCTGGGGGATCCTGGAAGAGGGTGTGCCCCTGTTCTGTGGGGAGGGGTGGGAGCCGTGCAGGGCCACATGGCCGCAGAGCCCAGGAGCACGCTTCCCAGGTGTCATTTCTTACCCCAAGGCTCTTAGTCCGGCCAGGAGGGTTTACGGGGACCCTGCCTGGCAACACTTGGCACCTTCACGTATTTAATATTACTAAAGCAGCCTTAGTGTAAAAAGTACTCAGCAAATCAAGATTTTTCTAATTCTTAATAGTGTTTCCCCAAGATCCCTGTGAGTTGTTGAAGTTGTCCCATGTACAGAGGAAAGCAGCAGACATAATGGATTAGAAAGGGCTTTGGGCTGAGAACTTACAGAAAACTCCTGGGAAGCGAGAGAGACGGTCTCAAAACCCAGAGAGCCCTGAAATCGCCTCAGTGCCAGTGCTGAGCAGTAACTTACCACGTGGTGAAGACCCCGCCCCCTATGGCTCTATGGTGTGGGGGTTAAAAGAGCAGAACCTATTTTTTCTCCCGTTTTCATTTTATTCTCGTTGGTTAGTGCAGAGCTGAAGTTGGATAGAAAAATTTCACTAGGACTTTAATAAGTTGCTTTCGAAACAGACATTTGGAGCAAAGTATGTTCATTGAAATATACTTTTATAGAAAATATTACAAAAACCTGTAATTGGAAAAACCTATGGCAGTGTTTTGGGGGGCATGATAAGTTCCTAATGTTAATTTATGGGTTAGCTCTGAACTCCTGCTGCTTCAAAACCACTGGCTGAGTGAACGTTTTTTCCAAGAGTCCTTTTGGATCTAAACTGTTTCATGGAATGGAGTATTTGCTGCTTAAATAATGTATAAATCCAGTTGGACAGGCAGTGCCTGTCAGTTTTATTAACTTTGACCTTTTCTCCCATTATAAAGACGGTCTGGTAAATATTTAATGGGCCCTTATAGATCCTGACAGTCGGAACAGTGTTCCTGGAAACCGGGGCAGGGGTATGTGATTAACGAATGCCGCTTAGTCACTGCGAGTCAGCAGGCCTGGCTTTGGGAAGAGGGGCCCTTCCACCCACATGCGCCTTTGGGGTGCAGCGCGTACTGGCGCTGTCCAGTGGGGCTGAGGGCACGAGGGAGCCCTTTCAAAGACAGGCAGTGGCTAGCATGCGTTTCTGTTGTTCTTCTCCGTTTCTTTTGTTTGTTTGTTTGTTTGTTTGTTTGTTTGTTTGTTTGAACAGAGCTCAAAATGCTTCCAGGTGGGCAAAATCACCCTGCCACTCTGCACAGTTAGCAGGCTGCTTCCACCTCAGAGTCCGCAGGGCCGGAAGGGCTGAGCTTGCAGGGACCGAATGACACAAAGCGGAGGAGAGTCCGGAGGAGAGCCCACTCCTCCAGCCAGGAGGGGCCCCCTGCCAAGCCGTCCTTCCCTTTAACTCCATAAAGCCCCATGCATATTGCACTCATTGCAAATTCTGGTGGGGAAGATCGAAATCCAAGTAGCTGACATTTTGAAACATTGTCTTTCAAACTTGTACTGGCCCTCGCTTCCATCGATTTCCCATTTAAGAACTCTGTAGGAGAAAAACAAATTTGAGCAAAATTCATTGGTCTAAGATGAGTTGTTAAAACCAAATTATGCCCCCCTTTTCCACCCTGAGAGGAGCTCCATTTTTATTATGAATGTGATATATCTTTGTCCTGTATTGTGCAGCCATAAGGCTCCCGCCGCAAATCGACCACGTAAATCAAGAGGCTGTTAAAAAGCAATGTGGATGCTCCAAACACAGACATTTCGGCCTTACTGGGTGACTGGATATCTTCATTTTATAGCCACTTTCAAGAAGCAGATCATTTCATTTGGTTTTGTTTTCTTTCCTTCTCTATTTGTGTGCAGCCCAACGGCTGCGGGTGAGGCCATTTATTTTTCAGAACGCTATTAGCCTTTGCATCCAGGGCCCAGCCCCGTTTAAACGGTGGTCACCAGTCTCATTACCATGAGCTGTAATGTAGCTGACTCTGCAGAGGAAATCTGTCCTTTGAAGAGCGTTTGGGAAAGAAATTGATTTAGAGCTTCAGAATGAATTACTATTCGTGTGTTCAGTTGATTCTAAATACACGTTGGAAAGACCTTGCTTAATTTGAGAGAGGAGGAAGAAACATACTACATGTTATAAGTGGTCTCAGTACAGACTCTTAGTTTGGCATTTTCACACTTGAATGTTTTATTTACATCTGTTTAAAATTGGAATACCTTTCAAGGATAATTTTATTATAGACAGATTGATGACAACTCTTATCTAAAATAACAAAAGTATGGGATTTAAAAAGAGGAAGACAGGAGTCACTATCACATGTCAAATTGGATATAATTAGATTTTATTTATTTATTTTAGAGAGAGGGGGGAGGGAGAAAAAGTGGGAAAGAAACATCGCTGTGCCAGAGGAACATCCATTGGTTGCCTTTTGCACCCCACTCCACCCCCCAACCGGGAACCTGGTATGCAACCACGGCATGTGCCTGACCGGGAATTGAGCCTGCAGCCTTTGGGTTCTCAGGCTGGCACTCAGTCCACTGAGCCACACAAGCCAGGGCAAGGTGGGCTTTTAAAAAAGTCCTGCTTAGTTTAGAATTAGGCAGTTACTTTTCTTTTCCGATAGAGAAATTGAGGTCTAGAGAAGTAAAATGACCTAAGTAACCTCGAAGCTCAGGAGTTTGTCCAGGGCAAAGCGAAGAAAGCTGGCCCTGAGCCCATTTAAAAGCCTGCTGCTTGCTGACCCCCGTTGTATTCCAACTATATGTACAAGGAGTGAAATTAACTTCTTAATCTCTTCCTCCTCAACGCGTGTGTATCCATTTGTATATGTTGTTGTAAAATATCCCCCTGAGTTTATTATGGTTGATGCTTGTATCCCAGCCACTGAAAACAGTGGCCCAGTGCTTCCGAACCCTAACTCTCTGGGGTGTTCGAGTCCGTCTGTCGGCAGCACTGCGCTCCTGCCTTACTGTGGTGCTACGAGCTACGAGTTACCTGGTTTTTATTATACATAGGACACGACAGTAGCAAGAGTTCCCAGAACTAATTTATCTTTAGGAATGAATGGGTCTTCTTATAAAAACGGCATCAGCTTTAAAACCATTTACATAAAGTATATATGAATAGTAGTAAATAATAAAGTAAAAGTTACTCTAACTTTTATGACTTAGAAATACACTGTTAACATTTTAGAGAGCACCTATTAAAGCATTTCTCTGTTTATAGTGTAACCTGTTTGTTTTCTTTTTTCAATTCAACAAGATGAAGTAAAACTCGTTTTTGTATCTAACCAATTTCCCAGCTTTTGTTGAGCATTTAGGTGGTTTGCAGCCCTTCATCATTATGTAATGCTGTGATGAGCAATTTTGTCCATGTTGCTTTTCCTGGTTTTCTGATCATCTCCTGAATGCCTTCCTTGAAGGGGAAATGCTAGCAGGCACGTTTGAAGTGGTTTAAAATGTTGCAAAGGGGTGACATGTACGAGCCTTGGCCCACCTTTCCCAAACCTCACTTTCTTCCCCTGTTGTTCCCTGCAGCTGCAGTACCACGCCGGTCTGGCATCAGGCCTTCTGAACCAACAGTCCCTGAAGCGCTCTGCTAACCAGATGGGAGTCTCAGCGAAGCGCAGGCCGAAGGCCCAGCCCACCACTCTAGTCTTACCGCCTCAGTGAGTAGCGGGTGCAAGCTCTCCTTTGTGCTTGCCTCTGGCTGATGAAAAGTTACTTTTTGCCAGTTTGGTTTTTTCTTTCAAAAAAGTATTTGTTAAAATTAGAAACCTGGAACATAGGTAACACTTTACGTAGATCTTAAATGCAGCAGTTATAATACAGGTCATAGTTGACGTGTTCTGTGTGTGACTTTTCCACCTGGGACTTTAAGATTCCTTCTAGCGCATTCTTTATTTCCTTGTCATATCCCCTCAGCAGGCAGCAGCGGGTGAGTACAACTGTCCTTTCGGACAAACGGGACACCCAGGGAGCACGCTGGGACGAACGAGCTGCAGGCTAGCTGCAGATCCCTGGACGAGCCGGCATTGGAGTCGGTGCTGGGCTCACTTGTTTCTGTTTATGTTTTTTAAATAGGAGTACGTGTGTCCTTTTTCAGTAGGAGAGAGAACTGTAAGGTTCATAAAGCGTACGGCTTGATCATTTTTTACGGCTTGATCATTTTTTACGCGGAGAATAATGTTCCCCGCGTGAGCCCACCCAGATCGAGCTCCGTGGCCCCCACTGCCCAAGTCCACTCGGAGCTCCCTCTCCTGTTCACAGTGTGCACATGAGCCCTCTGCTCTCCCCTCATTCGACACTGTTCCAGCTTCGTTCTTCATCTCAGCTGTCCTTGAACTTCATATTAATGGATCACACATGTAATCTTTTGTATCACTCTTTTTTAAAACTTAACACATCTGTTAGACTCATCCAGGTTGGTCTTTTTTTTTTTTTAATTAATTGCCAAGGAGTACTCCTTCTAAAATGTCACAGCTGGTCCGTTCATTTACCTCGTGGGTTATTTTGTACCGGGAACCCTCAAGGATGAGGACCAAGGCTCTCTCAGTGCCGTGGAGCTAGAAAGGCGGACGCGGCCGTCTCTGCAGATGGCTTTTCTCTCAGCACGCATGCGCCCCTGAGAGGGGCGGAGCTCCCGCCGGCTGGTGTGGACTCAGGCACATTCCCTGTGTCCTCCTGCCCTTCCAAACAAACGTATTTTATTTACATCCTCGGTTACAAACCACGTTTAAAAGTGTCCAGTCCAAAGGGATGTTTGCAGATGAGACACACTTGTTTGCCTTCCTTTGTTTTCTATTTGATTAGCAAATATTTATTGTACCTACTATTTGCCAGGCACTGTCCTAGGCTCTGGGGATAAAATCATGAGCGAGACAGACGTGGTCCCATCTTCCTGAAGCTTTTTGTTTACTGGGGAAAAGGAAAATAAATAAATAAATAAAAGCACCGCCGAACCCTGGCTGTTGTGGTTCAGTTGGGTGGAGCACCATTCCGTAAACTGAACAGTCACCAGTTCGATCCCTGGTCAGGGCACATGCCTGGGTTGCAGGTTCAGTCCTTAGCTGGGTCGCATATGGGGCAACAGAGGGATGTTCTTCTCTCACGTAGATGTTTCTTCTCCCCACCCCTTTCTAAAATCAACAAGCATGTCCTTGAGTGAGAATAAAAAATAAAGCACCTCTAAACAAATTAATCCATACAATACAGTAATATCTGGTTATGGTTGGTGCTTAAGAAGGGACCGTGTAGGCATGGCAGGGGGACACTGTGTGAACCGGGCAGTTAAAAGCAGGCCTTGAGGCGGTGACATCAGGTGGAAACATGGCAGGTGTCGGGAAGAGTGGCCGGGGAGGGCCCGGGGACCTTGTCTCTCACCAGGGGACACTCTTTGATCCCCCCTTTGGTGATTTTCAGGCCTTCTTCACAATTAATGTTGGCTTCCAGGATAGGATGAGCATGACCAACCAGCCTCCTTCATCCGCTGCGGACACAGGGGCCCCGGGTTTCAGAGACGACAGGGGCTTGTTTGAATGAGGTGGGACCGGTCTTCACCGTTCGGCAGAAAGCTTCTCAGGGAACATCCCTGTGTCTGTTGTGTCTCGTGTGACGATGTGGCGATTCTACGAGACTCAACTTCCAGCTCTCTGAAGGCTAATGAGCCCTGTAACTTGTCACTTCCCTGCATGGACTGTCTGCCGAGGCAGGACGCTCGGCGAGAAGAGAAAGACTTTCTAACGGCCCCATAAGACCGGAGCCAGAAAGTGTGTGCTGCGAACTCTCTCTTGACAAAAGTCAGCGCTCAGTCCATCTGTTCGCCATTTGTTCATTTGCATTGGCTTGAAACCTGTTTACAGGTGACACGCTATTATGAGGACACTTAGAAACTATTTTAAGCAGCAAGGTAATCAACAGACTCTGTTCTCATGCCAGGAAAAAAAAGAGAGAGAGGTGTTCACAACTGTCATTATAAATTTATAATAAATCACTCAAAACACTTAGTTTCAAAGAGAAAAGTGGTTGCTGTGTGCTAAGAATACAGCATGGAAATGATTTTCTATACTAGGGAGCCAATTTCCTGTGAAAATTGACTGTCGCCTGTTCGCATCATTGAGCTCTCGGGCGCGCGCAGTCCTGGAAGCCTCTGTAGGCCACTGTCCCGCAGGCGGGGTCTACACCTGACGGCGCTCGTGCGCGTGCGCGGAGTGTCTGCTACGTGCCGCTTGCTGACACCAATACCGCACAGCGGCTGGCTTCATCAGATGGTAAAAATTGCAATTGGAGAGGGGCCACTAGTAATATATACATTATTGTAGGTGTTGGGGGAAAAGACGACAGAAAAGACAAAATAATACTTTCACCCTGAGAAGGTTATTGTTAAGGTTTTGATGAGTATTGTTTAGACTTTTTTCTATGCACAGGTAATATATAATTTTTTTAAAAATTTAAAAAATTTACTTAGAGGGGAAGAGAGGTAGAGAGAGAAGGAGAGAAACATCAGTGTGTGGTTGCCTCTCCTGTGCCCCCTACTGGGGACCTGGCCCACAATCCAGGCATGTGCTCTGAGGGGAATTAAACCCGGGACCCTTTGGTTCACAGGCCAGCACTCAGACCACTGAGCCACACCAGCCAGGGCGTAATATATAAATTTAAAAACAAAAAAACCCTCCAAACTCCAAAAAGGATTGTATCGTCATATCATTCTGTATCATGTCTCAGTATTTATTGGGTGTAGTTGTTAGATTTTTAAAGTAGTATAATTTGATCTGTGGGATATTTAAATTTGTGTATTATATTAATTACCCATATTCTGCTTGTATTCTGTCGAACACTACTTACAAAATTTTATAACAGGCATGCATAAACATAATATAACTTCGTCATTAGGAAAAATCCCTCGAACTCCCTTTCGCAACAACACCTAAGTCCTTCGGGGTTCGCCACGTTGCTTACTCGTCGCTGCACAGCAGACCACCCCCACCACCTGGCGGTTTAACGACGGGGAACATGCCCCTCCACTTGCAGTGCGTCTGGAACCGGAAACGGCTTGGTTTCTGGCGGCTCCTGAGATTGTGCTCGGGGCTCAGCCAGGGCTGCAGTCGCCTGAAGGGTGGACTGGGAGCAAAGGCCACTTCCAGGGTGGTGCACTCGTGGTGCTGGCCGTTGATGGGAGACCTCTGTCCCCTCCAGAGGGGCCTGTCCACAGGGGGCTTGCGCATCCTCCTGACTGCAAGTGACCCCTCCCTGAGCACATGAGCTGAGAGCACGAGAGCCCGGCCGAGCCTCCAGCTTTCTCCACACCAGCGCTGCAGGATGCCGGCTCTGCTCCATCCAAGAGCCAGAGGCTTTCTGCACAGGCTGTGGGGCTCCCAGGAGTGGGTTTACCTCTCAGCGAGCGAGGAGCAGCGGCTGGGCCCTCGCTCGCCCTGCCCTGGGTCTGCATGGTGCAGTACCACCACCAGCTCCACCTGCGTGTGTAAGACCACAGGCACAGCAGCAGTGCAGGCCGGTTGTGCAGGGCGTTGCTGTTAAAATGCAAGACTCACCTGCGTTCCCATCGGATTAGTGGTGTGTGGGATTGACGACATCTGTCTCCCATCCAAAGAAGCCTGTGAGAAGACAGACGTGTTCACGTCACAGGTCTTTATCACCTACTAGCTTCCAGAGGGCACTGATGAAGGGCTCACCGCCCCTTTCCTGAGTGCACACATGAGGTCGTCTGCTGAGGGGCGCAGTCGTTCTCGTGTGGGAGCTGCGTGCCCGGTACTGGGTACCCTTGTTGGGTTCCCCACCCTGATGGGGTTGCCATCAGTCTGGACAGGGGCTGTCCTGTGCGATCTGCCAGTTGCATAATGAGATGTCCTTTAATTTATGTCAGATGTAGGTCTCTTCGGTAGAGTCTCAACTTTATGATGCACTGTTGATGTGCTCTGTGTTGACACGCGAGATGGGCTTCACTCGGTGCCGCCATGCCGAGCGGCCTGGGGACCCCTGGCTGCAGCAGCTCTGCTGGGTGAAACTCTGGCCTTCACCGGCAGCAGAGGTGACAGCCCTTCCGTGTTCTGATTCTGCACACATAGATCTCATTTATGCAGACGAGAGAATAAAAAATTGTTTGACGGAAGAATTATTTTCTTAAATATTACCTTCATCCCCTGGAAGTTGTGGAGATGGGCTCTTTCTTCCTATCCCATTATCTTTGGTGGAAGGGTCCTCCCTGCTATGTCAAGGGCATGTCTCTTTCGCAGGCTGCCTCCTGCCTGGTCACCGGAGGTGCTGTCGGTGCTCCCAGCCGAGCACAGCCCTCTGCTTGCCCACGAGGCTCAGTCCCTCCCCCCTACCCGGAGCCACCTCTGCATCTGCCTCCTTTCTCTGCATTGTCAGAATTCCCCTTCATCCTGGGTCAGTCCCGGTGGGACGCCCACGTGCTTACTCAAAACCCCTCTCCTGGAAGCGCGCCCAGTTTTCAGAGAGAGAGGAAGGGAGAGAGAACCTTGGATGTGAGAGAGAAGCGTCTATCAGTTGCCTCTCATATGCATCCAGACCAGGGATTGCACACGTTTGGACCTGGGACCGAACCCACGACCCAGGCACGTGCCCTGGCCAGGAATAGACCCTGCAGCCTTTTGGTTATGGGACGATGCTTCAACCAGCTGAGCCACAC